GGAGGTTAGAATTATATTGATTTATAGAAAGCCAAGGCAGTGGTATTTCTTGCATTCTTACCTCCATGTGGTCCCAGCCCTGAGTTCTAGTTATCTTTCAACATAAACTTATGAGATATCCTTGGGAAGCCCCACCTATAGCCTCAGTTTCCGTATTGGTGAAATGAAGGGTGCTTAGCAAGATGAGCCCTATGAACTCTTCTAGTAAAATAATTGGGAATTGGTGCTGTGGACTAGCACTCTTGGTGTCTCTTTAACCCCACTCTAGTGTGCAGAAGCTGGTGTTTACCCACAGGGTGTGCTTTCTGAGATCTGTGGAAAGCTATCAAAGTGATCCCTGGGGTCACTTGCCAGTCCCCTGAACACCTGGTGATCACATGGTTGAGATGTCATACGCTGGAGCTAGATGAGACTTCAAAGATGTTCTAGTTCAAATTAGGAGCTGAAACTTGGAGAGTGAGGTGTGCTGACGGACAGATTGTGCCATCTGCTTAAACATGTTGCTGTGTTTGCCATTACAGGCGAGAAGATGCTCCTGTGCAGTTTGGGCTCAGGTGAAAGGTAAAACCCTTTTCTGCTACGAACGCTGTCCTCATCTCTATGTCCAGTCTGCAGCATCAAGTGTATGTTAATGAGATTTCTTTTGAAATTGTCACAGGTGACAGAAACCCATCTCATAGTAGCTTAAGCAGAAAGCTGAAAAGAATGGGAGTCTAAGGGTGGGAGTTTATGGAAGTCCCATAAGAGCAGCATCCCCAGGACCCCAGGAACTGGGACTTGGGACTCAGCACCATGTGTGGGATTCTCTCTTTCTGTCTCTTGTCTCTGCTCTGTTTCTAAGTGTGAGTTGGCATCATTTTCTTCGACTATAAGCCATGTGGTAGGGAGGGATGGGCCCCAGCTACCACACCTTAGCAACTTCAGTAGGCACAGAAAGTTCCTCAGTTCAGGGAACGCCTTTTCTCCTAGGGTATGTGACTGTCTGTTGGATGAGTCACTGTAAACAGGAGATGGGGTACGATGATTGCTCTATCTTAGGTTTGGGGCTTACTCATGTGACTGATTGGGGGCAGATCGATGTGATAGACAACCCCATCAGCGTTGCAGTAGGAGGGGGGCATGATCCCCATCAGGAAAAGAGGCACAGAAAAACATGTTGGCAGACGACAACCATTTGGCTGCTTTGCATGTACATGTACATACACACATACTATTAAGAAAGACATCGTCCATTACGGAAATGGAATGATCCGCCACACAACCACAAGTGGCACCCTAGTGAAAGATAACTCAAACGGGGTCTCTTACTGCCTCCAGCTCCAAGACCAAGATTCCCGGGCATGGTTCCATTCCTCTCAATCAAATCCAGATGTGCTTCTCACGATCTGTTTAGCAATCCATGACGAAACGGCTGCCATTCTTAAACCATAGTATATATTATGAAAGGAAAAACAATAAGTACTTTCACTTAGAAAGGAGGAAAAACTACAGTACTGTGCACTGGTCAGGGGGCCTAGAACAATGACCACCTCATGCTGGGGAGGACAAGCAAGCACCCCTTGCCCTGGCTGCAGAATGGGTCACTTGATCAGTCGGTTGGGCTGCGTCGGTCTTTTCCTGGGTCTGCCTGTTGGGGAGTAGCCTTGTTTATTTCCTCCGAAGCCACATAAGAGATGAGCTGGGAGGAGCTCCGCTGAGTGCTGTGCAGTTTAAACCTCCTGCTTCCTACATGCACTTATCCAATAGGGGACTTGCCTTAGGGATTAAGCCATGACAGTCCTTGTTTGCCAGGCTGGGATTTCCCCAACAGCCAGCCAGGGGACTTGATTCCCAGAATTCCATTAGTTTATAGCTAATACCAGAAATCTTGTCAAGTTTACGACCTTTGAGTCTGGACCCTTTCCCTGTGGTTTATGAGTCCTAGCCACTTCCTGAGGAATTCTGCCCGTAGCCCGCAGTATCAGTTTAACCCCGTACATCCTGTCCCTTACTTCAGAGCAGCATACAACAAGAGGCTGGGGTGGTGAGGAAGAGAGGATGTAACCTTGCTTTCAGGGAGATTCCTACCCTGTCATTAGAGGGGACTTAGCAGGAAATGCTTGAGGGGGACCTGGGGAATTAGGCTTTCTTCATTTGTCTGCTCATCCCCTCAGCTTATTTCTCCTCTTTTTACTCTACTCACACCAACTTCACCAAGGATAGCGGACTTGGTTTTTCAGTTGGGAAGGGTAGTACCTGACCACGAACCATCTTAGCTTATGGATGGCCAGACAGTCAAGGTATTTCTCTTGCTCTCTTATCTCCAGCTTTATTGAGGTAGAATGGATATATAATTGGCATGATATTATGTAAGTTTGAAGTGTACAATGTGTATAATTTGGTATACATGTGTATTATAAAATGACTACCCCAATAAGGTTACTTAACACCTTCATCATCTCACAAAATAACCACACACACACACATTAGAGGCCTGGTGCATGAAATTCGTGCTCTGGGGAGGGGGTGTCCCTCAGCCCAGCCTGCACCCTCTCCAATCTGGGGCTCCTCGGGGGATGTCTGACTTCCAGTTTAGGCCCAATCCCTGTGGGCCTAAACCAGCAATTGGACATCCCTCTCAAAATCTGGGACTAATTATATTGAAATACAGTTTTCAAAATACTTTTTAGAAATTATGACAGCAATATATGTGTTTCTTTATTTAAACACTAGTGGCCTGGTGCACGAAATTTGTGCATGGGAGGCAGGGATTCCCTCAGCCTAGCCTGCACCCTCTCCAATCAGGGACCGCTGGCTTCTAACCATTCACCTGCCTGCCTGGCTGATCACCCCTAACTGCCGTCCCCTGCTTGCCTGATCTCCTCTAACTGCCTCTGCCTGCCTCATTGCCCCTAACTGCCCTTCTCTGCTGGCCTGATCTTTCCCCCAACTCCCCTCCCCTGCCAGCCCAATCGCCCCTAATGGCTTCTGCCTCGGCCCCCACCAAGATGGCTTTGTCTAGAAGGAAGTCGGACGTCTGGAAGATGGCAGGTCGACCTGGTCTAATTAGCATATTACCCTTTTATTAGTATAGAACACATAATCCCTATTTCTGGACTGATAGCCAGTCATATGTACTATACTGCCAAATCGGTCATTAAAAAATTGAACCGCTTTCTTACACCTTACACCAAACAGCTGTTGCCCTTAAAACCCCTCCTCAGCCCCCACCTTAGGTTCTGCCTTCGCAGTTCACCTAGATTAGGTTCTGATTGATCGGTTTCGATGCCAGTCAGCATCAAAAGCTCTGCCTCCTAGACAGCCATTGGCTCCTGGCACTTCACCCAGATTAGGTTCTGATTGGTCAGTTTCTATGCCAGTCAGTGTCTCTGGGCCTCTCTCTGGGCCTGAACAAAGAGGCAGGTCTGATTAGTAGCCCCCACAGAGGCCTGGAGAGAAACAGAGATCACGGCTGCTGGCGAAGCCCAGAGAGAAAGAGAAGCAACAGCTGATCAACAGCTGCCACAGAGGCTGCGGATCAGACCCTGTCTCTCTCTCTGCAGGCCTCTCTGCAGGCCTGATCTGCAGCTCCCTCAGCAGTCAGTGCTGGGTCCCTTTGCCAGCACAGGCTGCAGTCAGTGCTGGGTCATCACGGCAGCCCAGCACTGACTTCCAGTGTTTGGTCAGCCTTCGGTCGTTATGGACCCTGGCTCTTTATATATATAGATGAACATAGGAGATCTACTCTCCTAGCAACTTTGCAGTTTACAATACAGTATTGTTAACTATGGTCACCGTGCTATGCAGTAGATCCCCAGAACATCTCATAACTGGAAGTTTGTACCCTTACATCTCATAACTGGAAGTTTGTACCCTTACACCCCATTTCCCCCACCCCCTGGCAACTACCATTCTATTCTCTGTTTTGATGAGTTCAGCTTCATTAGATTCTGCATAAAAGGGAGCTCATATAGAATTTGTCCTTCTTTGTGTGACTTATTTCACTCAGCATAATAAGTGAGGACCTTGCTTAACAAAGATGTGTGCTATTCCTTTCTGGGTGCAGACAGGCTAAGCTCCCTTTCTTGGAGTTGAATGAAAGCCACAAGAAACAGCCATACATTCAACACTGGGACATTTCTCTGCCAGTCCATTCCGTGAAGCGCTAAGGGTGGGAATGGAGTGGCCACAAGGAAAAGAGGTGCTTTTTTCAGAAGAATAGAGTTGTGCAAGTATCCCGGGCAGACATAGAATTGATAACTTCCAGATGCCACTGCTTTCAGCAACTGTGATTGGCAAACACTCAAACTGGGTAGAAGAAATGGCCAACGAGCTGGCTGCATTCTACTATGATTAAGTTAGACAGGAAGGACTTTGCTTTGGAAATATCTAAGTGGCATTTGGCAGTCCCCCCACCCGCTGCTCCCTCCTCTCAATTAAGGACCAACACTGAGAGCGAGTTTGAACCTTTGAATTCAAACTACTGGAAAGATCTGGAGGTAATAGAACACCCATGGGTATGTTGAAATTCTGAGGGGAATTCTAGCACATATTTTTCTATGTACACAATTAACCTGTGTTGTATACTAACCTCTGGCAATCTCTTCTGTGAAAAGGAGAAATTGTTCCATTTCACTCATGCCAAGCAAAAGGCCCATTCTTTCCTTTGCCCAGTCATGAATTATGATGTTTACCTTTCGCAAATTGCCCGTAAAAGGGCTTTGTGATGGTTACCAGGGAACCAGCAGTGGGTTTGATGGGAAACGCAAAGGCCTGGGCTTCCTTGCCCGAGATCTGCTACTAATCAGCCGAAAGGCTTGAAATGATATTTAACTTGGCTGATTCTCGGTGGCCTCTTCCCAAGATCTCTGCGATCCCTTCCAGCCACAAAGGACTGTGAGTCTGATTTCTTGAGTCGCCAAGCGAGGTCATTTAATACATAGGAAATGATAAACTGCAATCAGGGAACATTCTTCAGTTGCAGACAGAAACCTCTGAGTCAGTCACTTCTCCTCTTTCTCTTTCTGCCCACATTTTGCACGACTGGGCATGCCTTTCTGATTTTCATCTCTGTGTTCACTTCCTAGCATGGACGACTCGTAAAGCCTCCTATCTCATTTCCCATCACAAGTGTTCAGGGTTTCCCTCTTCTCCCTAGCCTGCACACCACCACCTGACTCATATTTCTAGACTTCAGCTCTGATTTTTATCATTTCCCCTGACAGTTTTCCATAGTTCTCCATGACTTTTTAGTTTTATTTCTAAGCCTCAGTGTGACACCAACGTACCTTCTTAATTTCATCTCTCATTCTTCTTCACACAAACTTATATATCAGCCCTCGCTGGATATGGCCCCTACCTTCTCTCCTTAATGTCTTGCTCATACGATTACATGCTTACTTCCATCTGGATTGCCCTATGCCCTTCCAGTAATCTCTCCTTATTACAGTCCCACCTGTTCTTCAAGATTTAAACCAAGTGCCACCTTCTTCCTGAAGCTTTTTCTATTTGCTCGATGGGACAGGATCTCTATCTCTTCCTCTCTTTAGCCATTCTGCCATACTTTAGAGCAGGGGTGGGGAGCCTTTTTTCTGCCAAGGGCCATTTGGGTATTTATAACATCATTCTCAGGCCATACGAAATTACCAACTTTAAAATGAGCCTGCTATATATGGTCAAACATTTAATTAAATCACCCCTAATGCTTTGGCAAGCTAGACTAAATGATTTCATGGGCCTTATATGGCCTCCAGGCCAGATGTTCCCCACCCCTGCTTTAGAACAATGGTACACTTGTCTTTTCTTACCAGATTTCCTACCCTGGAGGGAGACCATTTGAAGAACTGGAATAGTATCCAGCACACATTAGGTGCTTAATCAGAATTTATGAAATTGGGTTGAATGATTAATAGGGAACCAGAAGTACAGTTTGATGAAAAACAAAGCATAGTAGGGGTGCACTTGTCAAATTAAATAATCCAGATAAGATTTATATCAAGATATAAGCCTAGCCCAGCTGGTATGGCTTAGTGGTTGAGCATCAACTTATGAACCAGGAGGTCACAGTTCGATTCCTGGTCAGGGCATATGCTTGGGTTGTGGGCTTGATCCCCAGTGTGGGGCGAGCATGAGGCAGCCGATCAATGAGTCTCTCTCATCATTAATGTTTCTCTCTCTCTTCCCCTCTGAAATCAATAAAATATATTTAAAAAATAAAATAAAACCTTCATAATTATGATTGGCAGAGGTCTAGATGGCCTCACAAATTCTGGGCCCCTGGTGTACACTCATTTTCTCCCATTTATTTACAGGCTAGTCTAGGTGCTGCTGTGAAAAAATAGTACCCACTGGGTGGTTAGGGGAAGTAATTAGAACAGGGTCTGGCACATAGTAAGTGCTAAATAAGTGTTTGCAAATGAAAACATGGCCACTAGTTTAGAACATGACAGTTACAGATACTACAGTATCTCACATGTGGGTCTTTTCCAGTTTATAACCAGGGATCTCCCAGAAGTTGGCATGTGATGCGCCCCAAATAGAAATATTAACGTCTTTCAAAGAGCTTTTACATCAATGTTCTTATTTTGTCCCCAGGGGAACCTGAGCAGAACAGGGAGGTACCACTCCTGCTGATGCGTAGGGAAAATGAGAGACACCTCTACCAACAGACAGGATTGATTTGCTCTATTCAACTATTGGAGCTATCATTTTTTGAGCAAAAAATCCAAGTGATGTCAGAACGACTTCTTCCTCAATGCAAAGGAAAACTGCCCATAAGTCTAGCCAGTGTAATTGACTTGAGAGAGGACCAACCAAAGCACACAGTGTGCTGCATTTGTATGCTCTCCAATGTCCGTCTTTTCCTTCCTTGTGACTTGAGTGTGGCCTGGTTTTATGCCTCCTTTTCAGAAATACCCCGGGACTGTTTTCCTGAGGCCCTGCATCCTCGGGGTCAACCAGAGGGCAGGAGGCTCTCTGGGCATTTCAGGGATGGTTTGTTACATGGAGCCAAGTTTGGGGTTAAAATGAGGTGGGCACAGGTGGGTGTGCGCCTCCTGGGCGGGCGTGATCCGGGCACTGTGGGCTCAGTGTGTGGTTTTGTCCCACAGATTCATCACGCACGCTGCAGCAGATGGTAGGCGTTGGGCTGGGCTCCGTGGCTGTTGTGATGGTGCTTGCGTTCCTCTCCTTCTTAGCCGTGTGGTATGTGAGCCTGTTTTTGAGAAGTGAGTGCAGCGGAGGGAGGATGGGGTTGGGGTCACGAAGAGGCTGGGATTGAGAGGGTCAAAGGGATACGGGTGGAGGTTGTCCTGGGCACAACGGACACTCAGCAGGCAAAAGGCATGAGTAACTCTGCACCTTAAGGTGGTGGGGATGCCCTCCTGTCCCAGGGGCAGAGCCAGGTGAGTGATGGCTGCCCTGGCCACTCAGTGGTGGCTCCTCTCTCATGCACTTCTCATGAATGTGCCTGGGCTGCTCACAGGGATGCACCATGGGAAAACCAAAGTGTGCCAATGGACTCTCTTTCCTCCTCCATGTCTTGATTGCAGATGGGTGCTACGTGGGGCGGATGCACTGCTGTGGCAGATGTTATGACAGCTTCTCAGGTGTCTGCACAGAGCACCTTCCATCCAGGTGCGTGGCTTCCATCCAGGTGTGTGGGGGCCTGTGGACATTCTCCATTCCCAGTTTGGCCCCGTTCCTGGATTCAAGATGGTAACTATGGAACCCCCCAAAAGGAGGAAACTCAGGAATTGCTGATGTCTCCCCTGCTACATACACGACCAGTTTGGTGTCTATAAACTTGAGACCCTTGATATATGATGGAATATTGACCACGGGCTACAGATCACGTGGGCTGGGCCTGCATCTTCCTCTGAGTGAGGCCCGAGAGACAGCTCCTCCAGACATTGAATGCAAGAGGATCTCTGTGTCTTCTTTTATAGCATCTTTGTTAATTAATTTGGAATCCATTCTTTTACAATAAGCAATGGATGGACTTAAGTTTTTTTTGTTCGTGTGTGTGTGTTTTAAATATATTTTCATTGATTTCAGAGAAAGGAAGGGAGGGGGGAGAGAAATAAAACATCACTGATGAGAGAAAACCATTGACTGGCTGCCTCTTGCATGCCCCACAATGGGGATTGAGCTTGAAACCCAAGCATGTGCCCTGATTGGGAATTGAACTGTGACTTCCTGGTTCATAGGTCAGTGCTCAACCACTGAGCAACACCGACTGGGTGAGATGGACTTAAGTTTGGATTAGAATTTGACTGTGAAAAAGGTCATGAAAAGGATAGAGATCATTGACCCAGGCCAACTTGTCAAACACTGTAGAGCAGCCCTTTTCCTATAATTAATTGACATCTAATTAGAAAGTATATGTTCCCTGTTTGATACAGTCCCATTCGTCTTATGTATTCAAAAGCCCTAAGTGTTGGTTTCAGAAAAAATATTCTGTGAATTTAGACCATTCTCTTGAATATGAATATTTATAGCAGTGTTGGTTAATTATTTTTATTAATGAGGGTCTCATAAAATGCTCTGTGTCCCCCCCCTTTAGATTCACATAGTAACAATGGGTTGGAACAATATCAAGCCCATGGCCAGAATCCATGTGTTTCCAGGGTAGAGGGAACAATGTGGGTAACACAATCATCCCTTTTACCTACAGCAACTATGGCTGCCTCTCTATCATGAACCATGACGCATTAGGTCAGTGGTTCTCAACCTTCTGGCCCTTTAAATACAGTTCCTAAAAAATAAATAAATAAATACAGTTCCTCATGTTGTGACCCAACCATACAATTATTTTCGTTGCTACTTCACAACTGTAATGTTGCTACTGTTTTGAATCGTAATGTAAATATCTGATATGCAGGATGGTCTTAGGCGACCCTTGTGAAA